CTCAGTTATAATTTATCTAAGAAGAAAAGTATGCTAACCATTACACCAATTAACTGCGGTAGACTGTTTTAGTTCCACGTGTCATGTTTAATGGATGCCAGTTATCAGTTACCTCCTGTTAATTTCCCTCTCCAAGTTCTACACTGCATTAACTGGGTATTGAACACACGCTCTTTGTAATGGCTCTAACTAATGCCTTTATTCTCTATTCCATGTGTCCTTGAGGACACACGGCACAGTGGATAAAGGCGTTAATTAGATCCAGTGACAGGACCCAAAGAGTGTGAGTTCAATACCCGGAAGAGAACTTTCAGTGGGAAAATTAACAGGAGATAACTGTTAACTGACATCCATCAAACATGGCACGTGGAACTAGAACAGTTTACCCCAGTGAGCGAAATAAAGGGTTCAGTTCGACATTCCAACCACCTGAAAAAGGCCAGAGAGTACAACGGCCGAAACGTTGTAATAAATATGGCGACAAAGATGAGGACTCTTTTGCCTATATTTATTTCATAATAATAATATTTTAAGCAGTTTTATTTTAGATAAATGAAGAAAAAATATTTTAAAATGTACTTAAGAGCAACTATTGTTAAATAAATTGAGAAAGAAAAGAAAGGGCTGATATTTTTTAAAAAAATATATCAATTTTGAAGATAAATGAAATTCTTAAATTCACCTCTATCTTTTAATTTTGCTTGTCAATTTATAATGGCATTAAAATAAAAGAAGAAAAGGAACGATCAGATATAATGCTATAGAAGTATTATTATTATTATTATTTTTTTTTTTTTGCTACAATAATGTTAATAAAATAAATAATGTGATAAAAATATTTAGCAACGTAAAAGGAATCAGTTTGCATACTGTAACACTATTTTCAAAGCCTTGTCATTCGTATCGATTCTTTCGCTGTGGGAATTAACAAAGCGCTTATCAGTTTTGACGATGTTTGTTCGGCCAAGGACTAACATTTACTAAAATCTTTCCATATTCCTTTTTTTTTTTTTTACTACTGTTTTATTAAAATGTTTCCGCCTTTTAAAAATCACGAACGGGTAGACGCCATTTTGTTTTTATTTTTTCATTTTTTATTTTTTCCTATTTTGGGGATTTTTTAAATTTTAATCGCTTTTATATATTTTGTTCTTGTCAATATAAACAATTTGAAAGAGTCTGTATCCTCTTTCTCTCTCAATGTAATGTTTTTTTGGGTTTTTTTTTTTTTTTTTTTTTTTTTGAGGGGATATTTGATGTTAAATATTGAGAGTGGTGTCACGAGTGACCAGCATAACCAACGGTGAGTAATTATTGACTATTTCTGTGTTGTTCAAATCTAAAGAGAGACGGGGGTAGGGGAAATTGGCGAGATAGAGAAGAGATAAATAGAAAGAGAGACAGAACGAGAAGAAATGTAAAATGGCGGACATGTCTGTGAATGAAAAATCGTTGATATTTAATAGAGAAACTGAACAATAAAATCTGATGAAGGAACGGGCGAGATAGTGATTAAAATAATAAATAAAATAACAAGAGGAAGGAAAATATATGAAGTGACTAAAATCTTGAAAGGATTCTTTTATTTAATTTGTTTAAATTTTTCTTGCAGTTGAAAACTTTTACACGAACCTAATAATTGAAAAACATGGCTGAAAAGTGAAATCTATAAAATTTGACCTACGCAATGCATTTCTTTTAATCAATTCACTGAAATAAGGCAACAATGCCACTAAGACGCAAAGCGGTTATACGGAGTGGAAGAGAATAGAGAGACTTTAATGAGGAGAAATGTCTGGAAAATTTGCAGATTTTTAGGAATACCGATCATGGAGACACGATGGAGTAATGGATAGCGGCGAAGATTGAGGAATCGGAGAGCCGAGTTCGAATTCCAGACGAATCCATTACATTCACATACGTGCTAGGAATGGTTTGAAACCCCTTCTTCTTCCCGCAGCTATCAGTAAATAACAGGACATGTCAGTCATGTATCGAATGATACATGATCGCCTAAGCGTGTATCACGCGTGGCATATAATTGACTGACCCTTGGGAAAGGTATGAATCCTCTTCTTCTCCCCCTAGGTATGGGTAAATAGCAAGACAGACCGTGTTCGATAGCGTTGGATGGCAACTGGTCTACTACAGAAAAAAATGGCAACCTACTACGGGAAACAAATCTGCTTCGTCAGTCATGTATCTTTCGATACATGATCGACTACGCGTGTATCACGCACGGCAAATAACTGAACTGACCCTTAGGAAAGGTATGAATCCTCTTCTTCTCCCCCAGTTATGGCTAAATAGCAGGACAGTCCGGGTTCTATAGCCTTGGATGGCAACTGGTCCACGGCAGAAAAAATGGCAACCTACCGCGGAGAAAAATTTGACTTGTCAGTCACGTATCGAAAGATACATGATCGCCTAAGCGTGTATCCCGCATGGCACATAACTGAACTGAACCTTGGGAAATGTATGAATTCTATTCTTTTCCCCTCCCCCAGCTATGAGTAAATAGCAGGACAGACCGGGTTCTATAGCCTTGGGTGGCAAATGGTCTACCGCAGAAAGAAATGGCAAACTACTGCGGGAGAAAAAATCTGCCTCGTCAGTCATGTATCAGAAGATATATGATCACCTAAGCGTGTATCACGCAAGGCACATGACTAAATTGACCCTTGGGAAAGGTATGAATCCTCTTCTCCACGCAGCTATGGGTAAATAGCAGGACAGGGTTCTATAGACTTGGATGGCAAAGTCTCTACCGCTGAAAGAAAGAGCAACCTATTGCGGGAAAAAAATCTGCCTCGTCAGTCATGTATCGAAAGATACATGATCGCCTAAGCGTGTATCACGCATGGCACATAACTGAACTGAACATTGGGAAAGGTATAAATCCTGTTCTCCCCCCAAATCCTTTCCTATGGGTAAAAAGCAGGGCAGACAAGGTTCTATAGACTTGGATAGCAAATGAGAAATGGCCACCTACTGTCAGAAACAAATCTGCCTCGTCAGTCATGTATCGAAAGATACATGATCGCCTAAGACTGTATCTATAGCCTTGGATGGCAACTGGTCTATCGTAGAAAGAAATGGTAACCTATTGTGGGAAACACATATGCTTCGTCAGTCATATATCGAAAGATACATGATCGCTTCAAACTGTATTACGCATGACACATAACTGACTGACTCTTGGGAAAGGTATGAATTCTCTTCTTCCCCCCCTCCTCAGCTATGGGTAAATAGCAGAACAGAGTAGGTTCTATAGCCTTGGATGGCAACTGGTCTACTGAAGACAGAAATGGTATTTATCAATCCACCCACGGGGATCGAATGTGGCACAAGGCCTTTTTAATGTGGGTATCTCTGAGCCCGTAGGCCCAGCCAAAATAAATAACCATCCAAACCCGCCGAGGCGGGCCAGTTCCGTCAACTTCCCCCAACGAAACCCCTACCCTTCGGCGGAAATTCGTCCGGGTTCCTCTCTGCAAGCAGAGAGTTCGACAGACACCCGACCCGGCAGCTCACAAAGCGCAGATACTACACTTTGATCCTAGCCACCGGGCCGAGCGGGTATTCTTGTTAGAAATGAAGAACTGAAGACAGAAATAGCAACCTACCCCAGGAAAAAATCTGCTGTGTCATTCATGTATTGAAGTGTAGCAAGCATGGCACATGAACTGATCATTTTGATTGATGCTGCATTTAGATTATTGAATATTTGAAGCTACAGGGAAGCAAACAGGTCAAAGGAGGTTCCAGAGGCGAAGAAAAGAAACAGAATGTAATATACAGTTACATCTCGCTATTTTAAATAGTAGAAGATTAAGCCCAAGTTGCCAATCTGTTCGAAACGCTTAAATTCATGTAACCGAGACACCAAGGATGGAAGCTCATCGGAGCAATTGCCATGAATATAAATGTAAAAAAGAGAGAAGATTGCCAGCATCAATGGATCAAGTCTGCG